CCCCCACACACTTCTAATTGTTCTAAACCAGTCAGTGCTCTAGATCTACATTACTATATCCTTGCGATCCGTCACCTCCTGGCTGCGCCACTGAAGAGACAGACAGCGAGGATGGTTTATGCTCGTCGCATCGCTTGCGGTAGCGGCTGCTGAGAGCAAGCAAAATCTTTTCACCAAAGTAATTTTGTCACTGTAGAGAAATCTAGGCAGCATTCTTCCCGCACAAGAAGAAAGGTGCATGAAACTGCTCTTCCAAGTCCAAGCACCAATTTGGTGCTGACTAATAATTTGATAAAAGTTAAAGTTTCCAGTAGCCTAATACCCAAGTAGATTCTAACGCAATGGAGAATGGATATCGAAACTGTTGTCTTCCTCTGTTGTGTAGCAAGTCCTGGTGCTTCACGAAATAATTAGAAATATTAAAATCTTCTCAGATTGTGAGCATAGTCAGCTGTTAGTATTGTTTCACTTCATTGCAGCTTTTATACGGTTTCATCTAGAAACAGTTGTAAATATCGATATATGTAGATTTCGGGACATCCTACAGATTCTAACCGACTTTCTCTAGAAATCTTAATAGTAGCTCCTAAGCCTATTGCCCATTTGCTCACTTTCCAATTATGCACCACCTTGTCTGCAACTCACGCGACGCAACTGATGTGGTATGACTTAATAAGTAAAGGCTAAAACATGGTGCCTCGTTTAAATCACTAACCAAACTGAGGATGATTATTATATATTATTTCTTTCACTTGATGTCATAATTGACTTTCTCATCCTGCATCAGGATATAGGCCACGAACAAACACTATCCACCTTTACCTATCCTGGGCTAGTCACTTGATGTCACTCCACGTCTTCCCGCTTTTCTGTACATCCACCACTTGATGTAGGATACATTAATTGATATCATAATTCAAATCAATGGAAACCACTCACAAGTATCCCGTCACACGGTGCACAGGTGAATTCAAACCCTGACGGTCCTGCGTCAGTTTGTACACTCGTGATGATAACACCCATGTTCTTCATTTCGTCCATGAACTCCAAGAAAAGCTCCTGGAAACAAAATTCACTCCTGCAATCGTCTTTTCTTTTCTTTTTCAGCATAGCTCATATCTGTCTTGGCACACGCATTTATTTTTACCGCCCATTTACTTTGTCTCGCTATTAGGACTTATTTTGTTATTCCCAGCAAAACATATTGTAGTTTGTAGCCGGGAACTCTTCTTGGCCACCTATGGTTTCCTGCTCATTTTAAAGTCTCATTCCAGCCCGCTTCACCCCCACCCCCCCTCCCACCTCCCCTATGGCCACCTCCGAGGGTCATTCGACTTGGCATGGTTCACATGTTTCTTCTTTTACCTACCGTAAAGCAAGCATTAACAGCACAGAGCAAAATACAGTTCAGTTCCTCAAATGCAAAGTCCTGCATCAGGGAACCAAGAAGTGGCATGTACTCGCCAGAAAAAATTTGAGATCAACAAGCTATTTCTGAAGTTAATAATTTCTTTCACAATTGGCAGCCATGATTACTTTTTACGAAATCCCCTTGCTTTATAGATACAAACAAACTGTAAAAGTACAAGAAGCCCATATATCTCTCTATCTATCTATCTCTCTATCTCTCTATCTATCGATCTATCTATCTATCTATCTATCTATCTATCTATCTATCTATCTATCTATCTATCTATCTATCTATCTATCTATCTGTCTATCTATCCAGCTGTCTATCTATCTATAACATATTCTCTTTTCGCCTCTTCCAAAGAGTGAGGTGTCCCCTCCCCACCTCCCCCCTCCCCCTCTCTCTCTCTTTCTCTCTCCCCGTCTCTCCCTCTATCTAACTATATCTCTATCAATCTATCTCTCTCAAACTAACTCTATCTCCCAATCCCCTTTCTCTCTCTCTCTCTCTCTCTC